GGGATCACATAAGCCTTCACGCACAGCTGGGCCTGGTCTATCTTATGGGCCCAACAATCAGGGATCCAGGATGGCGACCCGATTTGAACCCAACCCAACTAATCAGCACCACCCGACCCGATTTGAACCCAACCCAACTAATCCCAAATTTCCCAACTCCGTTGAATCCCTAAAAGACTCCACATCCCGTTTCAATCGTCGTTCACCAGAATCCTCCATGCAAGGATCGTCGACGAATTTTCCAGCTTGCGACCATTCGACGACATCATTCCAGCCGTCAGAACGTCAGAACTTCCCACGGCGAGATTTTCCCTTCCGTCGAATGACAGATGCAGAGATCCAATGAAAACGAGAAAAAGGGATTTGTTTTATGTGCGATGGGAAGTATTCGATTGGGCACAGATGCGGGGAGAAACAGTTTCAGATTATCTTGATTGACGATGAGGAAGATGACCCAGATCCTATTGGAGACACTGTCGAAACGAGATCTGAGCAACAGCAGGAACATGTGGAACTTTCTCTTAGTTCAGTGGTGGGGATCCAGGGGCCGAAAACAATGAAGCTTAAAGGAAGGATCCAAGGTAAGGAAGTGATTGTTTTGGTTGATAGTGGGGCTTCCCACAATTTTATTAGTTCAACGGTGGTGGAACAGTTGGGAATTCCAATGGTGGGGACTCAGTCTTTCGGGGTCAGAGTAGGTGACGGGTATAGTGTGCGATGCGAAGGGGAATGTTGGGATGTATGTATGGAGTTACCAGGAGTAACGATTGCTCAAAATTTCTTCCCATTTGATATGAGCAGTGCGGACGTAGTCCTGGGTATTGCGTGCCTTGAGACTTTAGGTGAGACTGTTACGGATTAGAGGAAACAAACGATGAAATTCACGTTGGGAAACCAGACAGTTTGTCTGTATGGGGACCCGTCTCTTAGCAAAACAATGGTTTCCCTCAAGGCAATGATTAAAGCACTGCAGAATGAAGGCCAGGGCTATTTGATAGAATTTGGGCAGATACAGACTCAGTGTGAACAAATGGGGAACATCGATGACAGACTACTAGAGGTTTTAGGAAAGTTTAGCAGAGTCTTCGAGCCACTTCCGGGGTTACCACCGGTCAGATCAAAAGATCATACCATCCAGTTAGTGCCAGGAGCACAACCACCCAACCTCAGGCCATACCGGTACCCTTATTACCAGAAAAACGAGATAGAGCGCATTGTCAAGGAAATGTTAACTTCAGGGATTATAAAGCCTAGCATTAGTCCGTTCTCCAGTCCTATTTTATTGGTGAAAAAGAAAGATGGAGGGTGGCGATTCTGTGTGGACTATCGGGCAGTCAACAAGGTGACAATTCCGGATAAATTTTCGATTCCCACTATCGATGAACTGTTTGATGAGTTAGAAGGAGCAACGGTGTTTTCTAAACTCGATTTGAAATCCGGATATCACCAGATTCGAGTGAAACCCGAAGACACCCACAAGACTGCTTTTCGAACACACGAAGGGCACTATGAATTCCTTGTGATGCCTTTCGGCCTTACCAACGCACCGGCAACTTTTCAGGCAGTCATGAATGACATATTCAGACCTTACTTAAGAAAATTTTTATTGGTCTTCTTCGATGATATACTGATTTACAGCCGGGAGATGGACGAACATGCGAAGCATTTAAGCATTATTTTGCAAGTATTGTTGGAGAATCAACTGGTGGTCAATCAAAAGAAATGTCAGTTTGGCAGCTCCAATTGGAATATTTGGGACACATAATCTCAGCTAAGGGTGTGGCCGTAGATCCATCAAAAATTGACAGCATAACTAAATGGCCAGAACCGAAGGATATCCGGGCACTCAGAGGATTTCTTGGACTCACAGGATACTACCGTCGCTTTGTGCGAGATTATGGTAAAATAGCTCTACCTCTCACTGGCTTGTTAAAGAAGGATTCTTTTGTATGGAACACAGCAGCTCAACAAGCTTTTGAGGAGTTGAAAAGGATCATGACCAGTGTTCCTGTCCTACGGATGCCAAATTTTACCCAAGAATTTATTATAGAGACTGATGCTTCAGGCAGCGGATTAGGGGCGGTGTTGATGCAAGAAAGGAAGCCGATCGCATTTCTTAGCAAAGGGTTATCTCTCAAGTCTAAACTGAAATCAGTCTATGAGCGGGAACTAATGGCGATAGTATTGGCTGTGCAAAAGTGGCGTCACTACCTCTTGGGAAGGCATTTTGTTATCCGAACAGATCAGCGGAGTCTCCACTTCTTAACTGACCAGAAACTATTAAGTGAATGTCAGCAAAAGTGGGTTATCAAACTGTTGGGACTTGATTTCAGTATCCAATATAAGCCGGGACCGCAAAATAAAGTAGCAGATGCTCTTTCCAGAATGCCTGATACGATTGAGCATCATGCTTTGTCGATGGGTTGTTTTTTCGGCTTAGACAGTTTAGAAGATGCAGTCCAGCAGGATGACAGGTTGCGGGGAATAATACAACTACTCCTGATTGACCCGAACAGCCACTCCCATTTCAGATTAGTGGGACACCATCTGTTGTACCATAACAGGTTAGTACTGCCTAAATCGGGGCCTCACATCCAGAGAATACTGCAAGAATTTCATACTTCCCCTATTGGAGGCCATTTGGGGTTTTTTCGGACATATAAGCGACTCTCGAATGTGGTGTTTTGGGAGGGAATGAAGAAAGATATCAAGGAATTTGTGGCTGCTTGTTGTGTCTGTCAACAAAATAAATACGATGCATTAAGTCCCGCAGGACTGCTTCAGCCGTTACCAATTCCTAACCAGGTGTGGGAGGATATCTCTATGGATTTCATTATGGGGCTGCCCAAAGCAAATGGGGTTGACACTATTCTGGTTGTGGTCGATCGTTTGACCAAATATAGCCATTTTGTCACTCTTAAACACCCATACACGGCCAAGGTGGTCGTGGATCTGTTTATAAAAGAAGTAGTCAGGTTGCATGGATTTCCCCGCAGCATTGTTTCAGATAGAGATAGAATATTCATGAGCAACTTTTGGACTGAATTATTCAAACAGTCTGAAACCTATTTACTCATGAGTTCGGCCTACCATCCGCAGACGGACAGTCAAACAGAAGTGGTAAACCGAGGCTTAGAGACATACCTCAGATGTTTTGTTAATAGCCACCCGCAACAGTCTCCAAAATGGGTCCCCTGGGCAGAATTTTGGTTCAATACCACCTATCATAGCTCCGCGGGCATGAGTCCATTTAAAGCCCTTTACGGCCGTGAACCTCCAACAGTGTTACGCTATGCAGACCGGATGTCACCCGTGGAAGAAGTTGATCAGCAACTTCAGCAAAGAAACCACATTATTGAGGAGTTAAAGGCCAATCTTCTCAAAGCCCAAAACCGCATGAAGTTGTATGTTGATCGCCATCGCCAAGAGGTTACCTTTAAGGTTGGTGAATCGGTCTATTTGAAATTACAACTGTACAGATTACGTTCCTTAGCCCGTCGCTACAATGAAAAGTTCAGCCCACAGTTTTACGGTCCATTTGTAATTACGGATAAAATTGGGGCCGTGGCATACAGGCTGGAACTACCTTCGTCCGCCCGTATTCATGACGTTTTTCATGTCTCTCAACTGAAGAAAGCAACGTTTCCAATCCCCAATAGCCAACCTTTACCGGCAGCCCTCACCGAGGATTTAATTCTACAACTGGAACCTGAGGCAGTCCTCAAAAAACGAAAACTCCTGAATGGGCAGTGGGAGGTGCTGATTCACTGGAAGGGATTACCGTCCTACGAAGACACATGGGAAGATTTCGATGTTATCCACCACCAATTTCCTTCTTTCCACCTTGAGGATAAGGTGGCTCTCCTTAGAGAGGGTATTGATGAACAACCCAGAGGACTGGTATACCATAGGAAGGGCAAGAGGGTAAAAAAGTAGAGGAATAAGTAAAAAGGTTGGAGTTTGTTAGAAAGGACAGATCGCTTGACAGGAGCAAAAATAGGAATTCGGTTAGAAGTACAAAAGGTGCCAGGAATGAATAAAACGGGGAGGAGAGAAAAAGAGGAATGAAGCAGAAAATAGTTAATTTGGCAGGGAGGCAGCTGACCCTCGAAGTCAGTATTCTGGGAGGTGACTGACCCTCGAAGTCAGCCTTTAGTACCTTTTCTTTTATTGCACTTGTTGTGTTTATTTAGTACATTTGCTTAGTGAGTACTGATAGAGCAAGGCTACTGGAAGTATTGTTCTAGTTGTAGTGTTCTGTGCAGATATTAATAGAACTGGGCATTTTATTGTTGATTGTGAGTGACTGGTTGTGTGTTGTGGTATATTCTGTGGTATTGCTGGTGTTTTTGCGAAACAGGTTCTATCAGATTGCCAAGTGGTGGATATAATACCTCCTCCACCCATTCTGTTGGCTAGTTTGAAAGCAGGTTTTAAAGATATCAGATGCACAAACTGGCAAATCAACTCTCAAAATCAGTACTCATTATTCATACAATACAACAGACAAAATAAATTTTTTCAGCAATGGACCACAAATTTTAACTGTTTCCGGAAATCAATAAGCCTAAGGCCTGCCCTTAGATATTACTTGAAAAGTAAAAATTTCAGACAAATCAAGTCAATTATAACCGAAGACTCAGAAATCTCTTCAAAAAAAAAAAAATGAATTTATCTCTTCAATAGAATGAATTTATCCTAACCAATGGCGGCCATGTTAACCAACGTGACTTGTATGTGAGTCGTGATTGGATAGCACACAAATCCATGTGTATTTGTCCAACCATGACACGCCACTTTAATGTACATAAACTATAAACACAACTTGATTGGAGATGCATCTATTCACTTGAGATTTTCTGCAGTTACAATTTGACACCATCCTTACCCTACATAGTGAAAGTCCTATAATCTGGTGCTTCCTAAAGCCAATTTGGTGCACATAAAGAACATAGAGGAAAGATGTTCACTATTACTTACCCAAAAAAAAAAAAAAAAAAAGATGTTCACTATCTTTTTCCCTTTTAAGACAATTCCTAAATATTGGGTTAAATACATCGGCTTGAATGGTTCTAGAATTTGTTACAAACATTCCCTAAAAAGTAGGCTTCTATCAAAATTTTACATAATTTAAAGGAAGTTTTGATCCACTTTTAGCAGGGTTTTAACAATTTTCAAAACTAAAATAAGGTTTTGATGAATTTCAGAACTATTCCAACTATGTCTGTATTTAACAAAAACACATAGGCAGTCAATGATTTCAACCTTTTTCTCACTGCTGTAGGCAAAGGTTTTGAGTCGATGAAAAGTTTGTAATTGCAACTGAGGCATATTGCTGCAACCTCGAGCTCTTTCTTCAGCAAATCATTACCATTGGCAGCTTTGCTGAAGCACCATGGATCTGCATTCAGCATACTTCATCAGTTCAAGAAGAAATACGTTATTGGTCATTTCATTCAGTTCACAGGACTTTTCTGCGGAGCTTATTTCCTCTTCTTTAACAGTAATCCCTTCATTAATTCATAAAAAATTGAATTGCTCCAAAAGAGAACAGGTATCATAGCACCTTAGCACATCATGATGAGATCTTCTGAAGCCTGAATATTAAAGAATAAATAGAGTGGAGGGCATAATTTAGGGTGATTGCAATGCTTGGCTTGCCCAACAAGGCAGAGGCGCTTGGAACATTATAGGGCAACCAGTGACTGGATGCTCCAAAGACAAGCTCTCCGCATGAAGTTCATGGCCCTCATAAGTCCTCCCGTTCCACTCATAGACACCCTCATATTTCACATCCCCTCTTATTGAAATACCAAGATACTGACAATGCAAGCGGATTTGATGTGTTCTTCCACTCTGAGGAAATGCTCTCACCAAAATTTCATCCTTCTTTGCATCAGCATCTATCATGGCCTTTTCTTCAACTACTATAACATTTGTTACATTTTTTTGAAATTCAGATAGCTCTCTGAGGCTCCCCTGTCCGTTTACTGATAACACTTCAAAGGAAGTAACCATGTCCTTAACTACAGACCCACCTGGTAGATTCCGACCTACATCTGATGAAGCATACACACGCCAGACTCCAAACTTTGATCGACCATGGCCTGATTTAAGGGTGGTTCTTTCCCATTTTGGAGCAGGACCAACACAGAGAGCAATGTAAGTTTTACTCACCTTATGATTGGTAAATGCCTTCACAAGCTTAGATGCTACTTTGTGGGACTTGGTAATGATCATTACACCACTTGTGTCACGGTCAAGTCGATTAGCAAGATGGAGCTCTGGGGGTTTGGCTTCAGTCACTGGAAATGGAAAAGTTTAACGCTGTTCAATGCTTAACAAAGAAATACGATTGAACTCTACATTAGTGTAACTCGTCATACTTCGGTTCATTGTAGGATAAACTGAACAAATGAAACATATCAATTGCAGAATCTGACAAAAGACCATAAGGCAGTCAGTGTGAAAACTTGGTGCAGAGTGATTCAAAGTATCCAAACTCCAAAATAATTTATCATAAGCATTTTCAATTCGGTTCAGTACTAGGAAAATCACTACATGAATGTGACTCATTGAAACCCAATCTATAAAAGCCCATTATAAACTCTGCTGAAAACATGCAGAAGCTAACTATGAGTTAATAATCCCAGTCACTACGGCACTCACAATTCTTATTTTAAACTCTTATATTAACAATTAAATAAAAACATGAAATCAAGCAGGCAGTTATAGTACAAGCTTTTACAACTTATGAAGTGAACTTAAGTCTTTGATTTGGACGGCAATTTTTATAAAGCTTAATTAAGCTAGCAGAGAAGCTTTAACAACGAAACTTAAAGCAATTAGCACCTCCTTACTCAATGTTTCAGACTCTATGCTTCAATTCATATGCCGAACTTTATCTACATTTCAACATATTATTCCACTTATTATATGCTATCAATTTGACTAGCAGACAAGCATCTTGAAGATCCAAAATTTACCTACAAAATTCGAAACTTTACTCTTCCTAGAAAAAAAATAAAATAAAATAATGCAAAATAAGAATCAAACCAACCTGCATTGAGTTGACCCGACTCGGCGGAGTTACCAGCAAGAAGACAGGGAACAGAAGCCAAAACACTCTCACAATAAATCCCTTGAGGCTTGTTGACAGCAATGAGCCATTCGTCTTCATACAAAATATCACTTCTTGATAACTTAAAAAGGCTTGATTTCGAAGAGGCGGACATGGCTCTTGTGAGCTCTATATCCTTTGATATGGAAGGTAAGGGAGGGGAGAGGGGTGTGGGGTAATTCTGTGGGGTCTGAGGGACAGTTTCGGAAGTGGGTTCTGTTGGGTTTGACATGTTGCTTACAGAGATTAATGTTTTGGAGAATTTGGTGAAGAAGGGTTTTGGCGACAAGAAGAGGATTGAATGGAGTAATGAAGGGACTTGCAGGAGGGGCATCTCCGCAAGTTTCCAGTGGTTAAAAAGGGGTCTTCAAGAATTTATACATGCTCAATTGTCAATTTTGATCGAGTTCACATGGCAAATTCTAAATACCTCCCTCTTGTTTATAAAGTAGATATATATAAACACCTTTTCCCCCCTTCAATTAGATGTTAATGTTAATTACTTTTGACCGTAAAATAATTCACATCTCTATGTTTAAAATTCACCATTGCTAAATTACATCTTATACATTTCATAGCTTGGGAACTAATGCCCTCTTATAATACTTGTGCATTAAATACTTTTAATCGTCAATGTATTATCATGAGCACTCTTAATATTCTCTTGTTTCTTGAACCATTTCTTCTCTTATCAATTTGTATTTGATAACAAAAAGCTAAATCCCAACCTTTTATGAGTGAAGTAGGCCTTAGAATTCCCAATACTCTAGTAGACAATTCAACAAGTGACAATTTAAAAAAAAAGTGGGGATCTATTTGATTTTTATAAAACTAGAGAGGAGCTTTGTGAAATTTATCTATATCATGCTCAATAAACGAGGTCGTTTCACGGACAACTCGCATCGTCTCTACCTTTGAGCTCCTATACTTCGATGATACTCTGTTAAACCCTCCCCACAATCCAGTCTACAGAACCAAAAAATCACTCTTTTCGATCGTCACCTCAAAAAATGTCATCTTTTTTTCTCAAAAGATCACGTAGTTGCTTATCGCTTCTCTCTCAGAACACTAGAACCAAAACTACAACGCTCAGCTCCACACAGCTTCATAATTTCGTTGACTCTAATCAAATTCACTCGCGTTCACCTTCAGGGTTCTCTTCATTATTTATTGAAGTTACGAAAAACCCATCTGGGTCTAATCAAAATATTGCCAAAGTATGCTCTTTTGAGTCTAGGAACTTAGAAGATACGACTTTGGCATCTGGGTATTGCATTTTGAGGCAAGATATTTTAAAAAGTCCATCTGGGTTTAGGCTTTTTGCTACACAGGCTGCAGTTGAACCTTCAACTTCTGATGGGCTCACTGTTGAAGGAATTGTGGCTAATCAATGGATAATTCTTGATGAGAGTGAGAGTGACTGGAAGAGTCATGCTGCTGCTATTGCTCAATCTATTAAAGTTATCAAGAAACGGTTGCAGGTATAATTTGGGGTTTTTATTTTTGATCTTGGCTTCATTTGTGTCATTTAAGTTAAAATTTAGTTTTTGCTGTTTATATTGATTTTTTTTCTTTAAAGTACAAGAGAATATAGGTTCAACATAATTTACCTTTTTTTATTCGTAAGGGTAGTTTAGTTTAGGTGCTCATGTGAAGGGAGAAGTTGTGGATATGGGTTTGCCTCGAGCAAATTTATGTTTGTTGTATTGGAATGTCTGTCAGGGCGGTTTTGGTTTTCTATTTGACCCATTGTTGTTCAATGTAAGGGATAATTTTGTTATTCATGATTGCAGTGGAAGAAATTGATGGTTAGGTTGAATCTGTTATCTGCTGAGCTCAATAAGCCTAACCTTTGGGACGATCCTGTACATGCTGGAAAGATTAGCCGTGAGCATGGTTCACTTATGGGTAAAATGAAAGAAGTGAAGACATTTGAACAAGAATTGCTTGAGCATATTGACATGATCAAGCTTGCTCAAGAAGAAGGGGACACTGAGCTGGAATCGGTGGGCTCCTACTTCCTATTTTAGGCATGTACTCATTCTGTTTGATGATTAATTTCTTGTATCTCATAAACATTAACAACCGTATGATATTTATTTCTGATTGTTCTAGATTTATTTCGTGGCTTTTTGGCATTTTGGAAGTAGCCATTGGTCTTTTTGGCATATGAAACGATGGCCTTTCCAGGCGAAGTAGTTAATGATTCTATTGTGAAAAGTGGCCTTATATTAGCAAAGAAATGAGAAAACTAATCTGTTACATTTTAAATAACCGAACAAGATATAGCAGAGAGGTGCTATGCTACTAAAATTGCTTTGGGAATGATGCCATGGCTTGCAATTTCTTTTGAGAATGGTCTCTCGTTAATTAACATCTTCTTCTCTTTGCAGGAATCACTAAAAGCTTTGCTTTGGATGAGAAGAAATTCAAAGGAGAAAGAACTTGAAGCTCTCTTATCAGGAGAGCATGATCCTTGCTCTTGTTACATAGAGGTAATCTTCATATGCATTAGTACTTATCTTTGTTTCATTAAACAGTTTTCCATACGAAGATGTCTTTGAATGCCCTTAGTCTATAGCTTAAGAGGCTTGAGAACATGTTATTGCCCTGCTGTTTTTTCTTCTTTCATCTCCATTTTTAATGCATGAAAATTTGCTACTGTAATAGATATTGATGTTTCATGTGATACATAATATAGGTTCAAGCTGGTGCTGGGGGTACTGAAAGCATGGACTGGGCATCAATGGTCATGCAGATGTATAAATCATGGGCTCAAAAGCGTGGATATGGTGTAACCCTAGTGGATGAAATGGCAGGTGAAATGGCAGGAATCAAGGTTCACTTTCTTACCATCATCCACTTTAATTATTTCAGTGAAATATAGCATCACATATTTTCTTACTCTTGTGGGAGAAGATCAACATATTCAATGGTGAAAGTGCTGCTGCTATGTGCTTCCTAATGAATTACTAAAGGCTATTCTATATGCTAATGGTGAAGCTGTCTACTTTCTGAGACTTTGAAGCTTTGAGGAACAAACATTAATTTCCTGACTTTGGGTAATTTTATTTTTTCAGCGAGCAACAATCAAAGTAGATGGTGAATATGCATTTGGATATGCCAAATCAGAAGTAGGAGTGCACAGGCTGGTACGAGTCTCACCCTTTGACAGTGGAAAACGGCGGCATACATCATTTGCTGCTGTTGCTGTAATTCCAATCTTGGGTGATGGATCTACATGTGTACAAATTAACGAATCTGATCTCCGAATTGAGCGATTTCGTTCAGGGGGAGCTGGTGGGCAGCATGCCAACACAACTGATAGTGCTGTGAGAATAATTCACATTCCTACAGGAATCACTGCTACTTGCCAAAATGAAAGGTGTGCATTCTGTGAGGTTTTAGACATTCATCCTCACTTTTTTAATGCTAATCATGGAAAGATGAATTACCTTAAGTCTTTTTTTCCTGATTGCAAAGTCGTAATTTTGTGTTAACACAGATCACAACATCAAAATAAGGCTTCGGCAATGGCTGTGCTTCAGTCTAGATTAGACCAGCTTGAGATGGCGCGCCAGGCCCAAATGAATGCACATCATACACAATCTCTTACCGACATAAGTTGGGGCACTCAGATACGGAGTTATGTGCTCCATGTATGCATGTCATCTTAACAACCTTAATTTCCTGGGCTACTACTGACAAGCTAACCAAACTCTAATATGTGTTCCTTTCATGTTTCTTAACACAGCCTTACCGCATGGTGAAGGACCTCAGAACTAACTATGAGGTTTCTGATCCTGATTCTGTTCTCGAGGGAGATCTAGACAGCTTCATCTTGAGTTATTTATCAGCTAGCTTGGATAAAGAAGAAGATCAACAATAGGATTATTCCCGAAAATAGTGGTGAAACCCTGCATAGTCAGTGAAGCTAAACATGGAGTGAATCATCTAACTTGTGGTTCTGGGGATTTCAGTACCCTAACAAGAGAAGCTACAATGACAGTCCTATAGCATTTGTTTATTTATTAGAAGGATGAAATGTAATCATTCTCACAAGTTACTTGTTTGCCATATAAACATATGTATTAATTTATTATCAAGTTTTGGTTTCTAATTGCTGCTATAGTGTAACCATATTTCATATACCCAGTTAATCTTTTTTCTTCTTCTTCTCAATGCTATTTCTATGGACACTTATTATTGGATTGGATTAAGTATTGTATAGTTATCGAATGCTGTACATGGAGATGATAACTTTACCAAACCGCCACATGGAGATGATAAGTATAATCCTTATTTCAGGATGCCGTACAGTTTGCCTCAACTTGTATTTCCTGCAAAATCCGTCGATGTGTTGGAGTTGTCTTAACCGTAAGCTATACTCACCAAGAGTTGGTGTTAAGTTCTCTTTGAGAACATTTTGTCTGGTGAGTGTTTATGCAGATGAACACGTGATTAGGAATCTTGTTGCTGGGTGCCCTTTGATTGAGTATCTGACAATTCGTTCATCTGATGGCTTTAAGAGTCTGGAGTTTAATCTTAGTAAACTCCATAAAATCAAGTTACGAGACAATAATGAACTCGAAAAGGTGTAGATCAAAGAATTGAATGTTCATTCAGTAACAATCGGGAAAGTTGAAAACACATGAGATCAATGTAGGTGCTTGTAAGAATCTCCTATGCCTAAAATTAGTAAGGCTTTCAATAATGGATGATTGGTTGTGTAATGCATCAGATTTGTTGCTCCTCCAGTACTTAAGCATTACTAGCTGCTGTCAGTTAAGGAGTATCAATATTCCAAGTCCTAGTCTCAAGAAATTGGTCATCAATGGATATAGTTTGGTTGAAGTAAAGCTTGAGACTCCTAATCTAAGCATCTTCAAATTTCGGGGCGATGCAATGGAATATCCTTTATTTCCAATGCTTTGGCGTTGTCAGAAACTGACCTCTATCTCGATAGCGATAGTGATCACCACCTGTGGCAAAACTTGTGGATGGCTTCCTCTGGCTTTCACCTCATATGGAGACTATATTCATGATACATACTTGGAGTGGAAAATTAACATCAGCTTTCATACACCTCGACGGAGACTAACGCAGCAACTCGTCACGGTCTCTCACTTAAATTGCAGATGCTGATATGAGAAATCTAACTTAAGATCGTGCATTTATCTACACTATCCTCAATTCATCATAACCATTTGGACTATCTATGGATGAGTGTAACTTTACTACCCATTTCTCTATATTGATGAACTTTTTATTTGTGAAGTATTATTTGTGGGGGTAAAAGGCCTACTCAACCTGCCTGCCCTCTTGTCATTGTTGAAGCACACATTCTGAAAAGTTCATCATAGACATGGAATTAAGATAAACAGTGTGTTGTTGATTCAACTGTGAATCTTTGCTTCTCTACATGTTTCAGTTCCATGAAACTTTTCTTTTTTATTCACTATAGTTTAGGTTGGTTTATTCATTGTTTTGATATAAGAATTATTTCATATTTATATTTTAGATGTTTTCTGAATACATTCAAGAATCTCTATCATATCAATTGATGATGTAGGGGTGGTTGCCCTAATATTTTCTAATTAAGTTATTAAAATTTTAAAATTTTAAAATCTTTAAATTTATTTTTCAAAAACTATTTAAAAAAAATAATTTCTCTAAAAAGTAATTAGACCAAGTGAGTGACTAAACGACGTCGTTGGGAATGAATCTTTAGAAAATCAGAACCCGAGTCGGTTGACAATCGCCATTACTTCAATAAACAGAAACTGTCCGGCGGTTTCGATTCGTTAACGAAATTATCGACAAAGGTACGATAATTTCTCTAATATTATGTTTAATGTACTAGTTTATTGAATCAAACAAAAGGGTTCTTCACGCTTTCTCCAAAGCAGCTTCCTTGTGTTTAATTCATTTGTGAAGTAAACGGAGAGATGAATTAAATTGTTGTTTTTGGTTTTGCGGGCAGGCGTTGGATTGAAAAAGTTATATTGGGTTTTTTTTGTGGGCGAGAATGGCTTCATCTTCTTCCGTTATAAGCCCAGAAGATGTTTTGGAGTCTTTGATGAATGATGGTACTTTTGATTCTCTTAGATTGAAGATCATCAATCAGCTCAAAGCCAATGTAATTCTCTCTCTTTATTTACATATATTTTATATTGTTTCTTGAAATTGTGCTATGTAATTTGATAGTACTCGTGGATTTTTTGGGTTCTGGGTTCAGTTCTTACCTGGGTTTATAAGTTAAGTGTTTAACTTTACAGGGTGAATTTTTTAGTTCCAATTAATGGTGTTTGGTTACATGTAACAATGTTTAAGCTAGCATGGACGATTTTTATCGGTATGCGTGTAACTACTTCATATACTGTGCGGGAATATGATACCTTGCTTTCATCTGAACTGTTACTGTTGTGGGTTTGTTTCATGGTGTGTTTTGAGAATACTGAGGTTAATAATTTGGATATGTGGGGATATTACTTGTTTCTTGAGTTGGTTACATGAAAAATTGCAGCTTTACATGTGAAGTTTGCCCTTTTTTGAGAGAAAAAGGAAGGCTTTTGCAGAAAAATGTTGTTTTTTCCCTTGAACTAAATGAATTATTGATAACTTTTGGATTTTCTGTTACGGTCACTTACGGTTCCTAGTTGTGGTTTGAATTGGTTTTGTCACGCATGTTTGATTAAATATTAACTGAAATATTTGTTATGCAGTTTGGTTCATAATATACAGGTATTGGGTATTTGCATATTCTAATAGCAATCCTGTGTTCTTTTCTTGATGCATCTTGGCCTTTTGGACATTAACGTCATGTTCTTTTGGACCTCTATGTTTTTTCCTTTTGTTTTCTACTCGATGAGTATTCGTTTCTGCCTTAATCATCTATTTCTGCACATATGTGGCTGAATGTGGACAAAATTACCGCCTTTTCTGAGTGTTATTAGAAAAGAAAGTAAAAAACTGTCTGAACTGTATTCTGAACTTAGCTTTTCTAGGATGAAGTTCTATTTTTATTCCATTTTAGTTTAAGTTATCTTAATTCCATAGTGACAAGTTGATGACATCTTTAATATTTTGATATGGCAATTTTCAGAGTTTCTGTTGCGGTTAGTAATTATAGTGTTGAAGCCTTTATTGAGATGATCGAATATAAAATGCCAAAGATTGAGCATATCACACATAATTAAATTATTGAAGTTGATGGTTTTAGCATTTTGATTCCCATAGAAATGACATGTGACTTTTGGTTCTTGAGAGTGTAAGTCTTATATTTTTGCTTTGTTTCTATTGCAGGAAGAGCTAAAGAGTACGACCATTAAAATGGCTGAACAGAGTAAAGTTCTTAATACCCCTGGGGCAGAAAAACAGACCAAAAGAGAGCTCTTTGATGCACTTCGCCAGGAACTTGAGTAAGTGTTACAGCTTCATATTTAACTGTTTTCACAAATATTTAGAAGGTTGGAGAGACTCCATTTGTTTGGGTTAAGTGTTACGGCTTCTTAGTTAATTGTTTTCACAAATATTTAGAAGGTAGGAGAGACCTCATTTGTTTAGATTAATCATGAGATTGCTGGTCTGCTTGTAGGCCCTATGCATACCGTTACCCATTTTCGTATCTCCTTGGTGGTACATAGCTGACTTACAACCCTTAATGTTTGGGAAACATACAAGTACTTACTGATCTCTTTTTTCTGAGCTCTCTGCTTTAATGCCTCTGAAGCCACAGTTTTCTTCTTTATCTCTACGGATATTTTACACATCTCTTGCAACATATAATATGCTATACCATTTACATTTAGATTTACAAGAGTCAATCTATGCACGCTGAAACTGCGTTTTATGTTTTTTTATTGCACAGAGCCCCTGTGCTTGAGAAGGCGTCAAAATCGGTTTGGGAGTTAATTCTGGACAACAATGGGCTAGGAAAGGAAATAAATGAGACAGTTGAAAAGGTATTTTGTAGATTAAGTGGCAGTGAACCTCCGTTATTTCCTCCAAGTGTTGAGTCTCAACCTGATAAAGTAACTGAGAATGAGAAAAGAAATGTAAAAGGAAAAGGAAAAGGAAAAGCAAAGGAACATGAAGATGAAAAGGAGGGTTCGAACTCTAAATTAAAGAAAAGGAGTTTCATCGAGATGAATGACGAGGNAAAAGAGAGCTCTTTGATGCACTTCGCCAGGAACTTGAGTAAGTGTTACAGCTTCATATTTAACTGTTTTCACAAATATTTAGAAGGTTGGAGAGACTCCATTTGTTTGGGTTAAGTGTTACGGCTTCTTAGTTAATTGTTTTCACAAATGTTTAGAAGGTAGGAGAGACCTCATTTGTTTAGGATAGTCATGAGATTGCTGGTCTGCTTGTAGGCCCTATGCATACCATTACCTGTTTTCGTATCTCCCTGGTGGTACATAGCTGACTTACAACCCTTAATGTTTGGGAAACATACAAGTACTTACTGATCTCTTTTTTCTGAGCTCTCTGCTTTAATGCCTCTGAAGCCATAGTTTTCTTCTTTATCTCTACGGATATTTTACAAATCTCTTGCAACATATAGTATGCTATACTATTTAGATTTAGATTTACAAGAGTCAATCTATGCACACTGAAACTGCGTTTTATGTTTTTTTATTGCACAGAGCCCCTGTGCTTGAGAAGGCGTCAAAATCGGTTTGGGAGTTAATTCTGGACAACAATGGGCTAGGAAAGGAAATAAATGAGACAGTTGAAAAGGTATTTTGTAGATTAAGTGGCAGTGAACCTCCGTTATTTCCTCCAAGTGTTGAGTCTCAACCTGATAAAGGAACTGAGAATGAGAAAAGAAAAGGAAAAGGAAAAGGAAAAGGAAAAGCAAAGGAACATGAAGATGAAAAGGAGGGTTCGAACTCTAAATTAAAGAAAAGGAGTTTCATCGAGATGAATGACGAGGGGGGGGTTGATGAAGTTGTGAAGGATCTGACGTCCCCTGGGGTGTAGTGATAGAATGTAAGTAACACATTTTAAGTTTGAAGATACGAGGGGCCATCCTGACAAAAGTTTTTCCCTTTCAGGGTGAAATAACACTTTTTAGGACCTATCCAGAATAGAAGTAAAATGTGGTGACTTAGGTCGGAAATTAGTGCCGCACAACCACCATCTTTTATGTTTGTATATTAACTATTGGATATCATTCACTTTATTGAGTACTCTGAATGATGACTGTTTTTAAGGTTGTTTTAGCTTGAATTTCCATATACTTTTATTGGTTCTAGTTCAAACTGTTAAGGTACTCTGAGGGTATTGTAATCCACCTTTTTAGCCGTTTGATCATGGTCTAGTCGATTCTTGGATCATGATCTAAAGGTTAATAAGGGGTTAGCGCTATCCTCGGCTCTAAAATCATTCATTTATTTATTTTTGTTATGCTGGTAAATAATCTTCATTGCTAGAAGGATGACTTGAATAAGGATGCCTTCAAGGTTAATCCAAACAAAAGAGCAGCCATTGAGTCTGAAAGATTTCATTTCATGTTTGAAGTTTTCTGGGTAAACATTAATAATGCCTTAATTCCACAATTTTTGGAGTTGCTTAATATTTTTGTGTCATGTTGGTCAAGTCTACAGTTATACTTTCACCTCAAAAAAAAAAAAAAAAAAAAAAAAAAAAAAAAAAAAATGTAGCTTTACTGAAAGTTGGAAGGAGCTGATTATTAAGTTTATCAGTAGGTAATTAAGTTGCTGTTGCATGGCTTGATTTAGAACATAAACTAATTGATTAATTCTTAATGAGAGGTTTCTACTTCTGCAAAAAGTCCTTTTCGAAATATCAAATAAAGAGTGATTTAAAGTTTCTCAAGATTTTACTATAAAAAGAGGTTCCTTGATTATGGGATAAAGTGAAGTTTGGGACCTCTATTTCCTTCGAGTTTAAGGAATTCTCATTCTTGTTTCTTCATCGTAATTGGGAAGTTTGAATGAAAACATTCTTCAAACATTCAACATGAAACTCCATTAATGGAATCAGTAAGTTTGATCTGTTGAAGTTAGAAGCAATTTGCATTATAAATCTCAAAGTCTTCTGAGAAGATGAAAACAAAAGGAGTCACCCTTCTCAGAAAACTGTCTTTACACATTTATAGTTCCACCAAAACAGAAGGCCTAACTCTTCCTAATATTATGAACTAAAAGGATCGGATTCATTCTATAAATGACTACTATCTACACTACACTGAGATCACAGTTATCTAAAACTCCCTAATTCTACCTCTTCTTCACTTGTACATCAAGGCCAACTATTCTGTCCATGGTGATGGTGGTGGTGGTGGTGATGGTGGTGGTTGTCAGTGGCATAATCATAATAACTCACTGGAATTTCATTAGTTACTTGAGTTGGCATCACTGCAGATATAGGCTGTCGAATCTCAGTAACCATAGATGCCATCCAAGGTTGAAAAATTAGGCCTCCAGTAGTTTCATTTGAAGGCTGATTAGAACTCAAATCAATGTGCATAGCAATAGGCATGTTTTGTCCATAGATAGTGTTGTTTGTAGCGTTAGTGTTACAGAAAAGGTTGTTCCCGTCAGTAGGCTGATTGATCATTGCCTCCATTGTTGCCATACTTTCGAGGCTACACTGGCTAAACTTTCCTTGGTCTCTGTAATCTGCGTGTGCATCGCTCATCAAAGCCTTTTCAATGTGGTTTAGACAAGTGTCAGTGTCGAAATTGCGCCTGCAGCTGCTGCCTGATTCGATGTAGTTGTTGTTGTTGTTGTTCGGATAAAATACATCTGCTGGTGTGATTGAAGGAACATGCAGAAGTCCTTGAACTTGATTTCCAACTAAATTATCTGCAAAATTGTTCATTCCTTGACCCCAGAATGCCATCTCTGGATTTTCGCCAAATTCCATTACTGTATTGCAAAATTGAGTTAATGTTCAATTCTAAATACCAAAATTGAAGTGAACATACATCAGTAAAGAACAGTACCTGAATCTGGTGAAGCTAATTCACTAATGCTTCGTCGTTGCGTGATAGTTTGCTGATAAGATGGAACTGGTTGAGCAACATATGATGTGTTATGAAGTTGTGCCAAAGAGAGTTGCAAAGCAGGGTTGAAATGAGGCCTTTGTCCATGAAAGCTGAAATTTAACTCCATGGGCTCATATATAGTTTGGTGATAGAAATAAGGAGACTTCAAACTTGGGAAAGGTTGACGACTTAATTCATTCAATCTGTCATCACATTGCAAAAGCTTCTCAAAGGGTTTATCAAGAACTCCTGGAGGAAATGTCAGGTAATGCCTCCTGACAATATCAGTAAAAACAACAACAGCCGCACATCAGTAACATCAACGGAAAATCCTGAAAGAAAGTTCATTCAATCTACGCCGCCACTCGGATTTGAACCGAGATGCTTGAGCAAGAAGCAAACGTGTCTACCCATTTCACCATAGCGGCTAACAAGCTCAAAACCATTCAAAATTAGCATAATTTTTTAAGAGAATTTAAGGCATAACTAACCTCCACACAAGAGCTTGCCCATCTGTGAAATCTGCTGCTGTCTTCCAATTAGTATGCTTTCTTGGCTGTGGATCAGTCTCATGGTGAAATGTAGGAGGGTTTTTCAACTGCCAATAAACTAAAAGACATCACTAAAGAAAATTAACATTAATTAAACATGTCAAAATTAGAGAAAATTGACAAAACTTAAACCTCAATTTGAAGAATTCCAGGCTCATTTTCATTCATAGTTGCTCTGATAGCCAATATATCACCCCATTGTATTTCAATCTTTCTCTTCAATGTCCTCTCTAGAAACTCCCACACAAGTTTCTTCTTTGCATAGTAACACTTGGCCACCAAATCGCCTTCATGAATGGAGACTCTCTACATGAAACCAAATCATGAGAAAGTTCTGATCTTTTTGGAGATGAAATATGATATGTAATGTAATGTTACCTCCCATTTTCCGATTCTGAGTAATGATGCAGAAAAGTTTGAAGCTTTCAACTTCTCGGTGACTTGTTGAGATACAAAATCAGTTTTTCTTGGCCTGCCTACCGCCCCATGATGATGATGATGATGAATCTGTTGTTGAGGTACCAATGTGTCTTGTATTAAGTTGATAAAAGATTGAGACTTTGTAAGTTTCAAATGAAGTTCTGGATTTCTCAAGATTTGTTGAAGATCATAATTCTGCAAAAATAAACTCGAGAAATCAAAAACAAACAGCAAAATGCACCTGAACGAAATGGACATCTTGAAAATCCGAAGAGAAAGTATAAGGGAAAGAAAAAAAAATTAAAAAAAAAATAAAAGAAAACATGAAAGAACCAGAAAACCTGATGATAAGAGTACTTCATCTGTATATTATGGAAGCTCTTGTTAGCCAAATGTCTATAGAGTTGGAGTTCCTCAGAGGAAATCCCGAAGCTTGTATCATCACCATCGCTATGTCGTCCATGTCCATCTCTTTCATCCGAAAAATAAGGCGGTGGTTGTGGTGGTGGTGTTGCATCACCTGAAAAACCTTGCACCACCATGGTTGTTGATCTCCGTGTTTATAGGGTTTCTCAACGCAAACTCAGGTTTTACTCCACAGTGTTTGAATTGAAGGAGAAGAAGAGAGGAAAAAAACAGAGAAAAAACAGGGGAAAAACAGAGACGGGTGTAAACAGGGAATTATGAAGCAGCCTTCTTTATAAGTATTTCATTTCACGTAAAACTCCGTTGCCATAATCATTATTGTTACACGTGGGAAGCTCCGAATTAATCTCAGGTTTTTCAGTGAACTAAAATAAATATATTTCTGTTTTGAGAATAAAATATTCAGTAAATTGGCGGCTAATTAATAGATAATATTAAAATAAAAAATCTTTTACGTTGGTTAAGCTTTGATTGTTTTACCTTTTTACTGCCAATTTTCTTGTTCTTAGACTTTAGATTGTGTTCTAATTCTATGGGAAGTGTTATTTCTTTTATATATATATATATATATATATATATATAGAGGTGTGTGTGTATGTGGGTGATGGGTCGTGTGTACAAGTACCTGAATGAATTCCTAACTGTATGATTACCAGCATCATACTTACTTTACGTACATAATTTGGACTGATACATTTGGTTAAAAACCTAAAGTAGCAAAACCCTAGGTAAAAACCTAGAGGTTAACCATACTCGGACAATTGTACTCTACAAAATAATGTCATAATATAACTGGATGAAACCTATTAAATAATAGTGATGGTCACGTATTTTGTATAAACGATTTTATATAAAATCTTTATAAGTGTATTACTCTTTTGTTATAATCGAAAATTATGAACAAATCTAATAGGTCAGTTGAAAGTTAGCGTTAGCGTATCTATAACATATTTTTTTTTTTTTAAAGATGTCTAAGCCGGTTTATATACACCTCGACAAAATATTTTCTTGTTAGGTGAAGAAGACAACTTCGTTGGGTATTATAAGAAGACAAAATTATTTATGAGAAAAATAAAAAGGGTTTGACTTTGATAATAAAATGGGATAAGATGATGAAGCTAATTAAAATTAAATAATATTAATGACTTAATGCAATCAAAGTCACTAAAACTATATTTATAATTTATAATATTATTTCTCTAAAAATGGAATAAAGAGAGATTTATTAATAATAAACGTTTTAGTCTATAAAAATAATTAATTAAAAGCAGCCACCAAGATTATAACTTTACATATAAGCAGGCAGCCGTCAATAAGCATTAGATGCCACGTCTTGCTTAATTATGATTAGCATCACTAATAAAAATGCTTAATAAACAAAGAGGTAGCTTCATTAATTATTTTTTAATTAATTGTATATCTTAAGTATGTTTTTTTAATAATATTTTTGAGTAATTTTATGATTCACGAAAGGCATAAAATAATTTCATTTTCAAATGATAATATTTTTGCTTATTTTAACAAAACACTACTACAAAATTAAATATAAATTATTATTTTTTTTTTGGTGAAGGATTATCATACTAACTAACATATTATTTAATAGAGTAATGCTACGTCTACAATATAATCTTACAACCTTCTTTCACAATCTCGACGTAATAGATTGTACGGATCTCGCTTGCCCATTTACATTTATCTAGTAAATAATAATGATAATTACCCATTAAAAAAATTAAAAAGAAAATAATCGATTAAAGAGTAATTTAATGTTGAATATTATATATTATTTGGGGGTTTTTTTTTTTTTTTTTTTGTATAATTTTAATTAATTTAATATATAAATAGGTTGGTGGGTATAATATGTCAGCACAAAAACGTAAGATTGCAATTAAAAATAGAATTGGATAATTAACAAACAAAGAGTTGGAGGTAGGGAGGAGGATTAACATGTACTCTACTTCATAAGGAACTTTTAATTAAATCTAATTATTTAATTAGGTTTATAATTATTTAAACTTAATTTCAAGATATAATTTAGATGATGATTTCACTTGAATCTCCCTCTTAAATTAATTTGGAGGGAGGGAAACCAAATTAATTAGATGATGATTTAACTTAAACTAATTACCCTTTTGAGAGTGAAAAAAATAATCGTCTTTAACCCACCCATGGGTAGCCTAGCGGTAAGGACTAGACCTGTGAGGGACTGGTACGAATCGAGTCTAGGTCTGGGCTCGATTGGGACTAGTCACTCATGGGCCTAGGACTGGTGGCCAAAAAAAATTATGAAGTGGGAGTTTATGTAATTTTTAGGGGCCTAGAAATTTTTTCCCACCCATGGGAGATTAGTAAATTTTGTAAAATGTCAATTTAACTCTCAATATTTTTGTCAATTTAAAATTTATAAGGGGTTTTTGATATTTTTTAGGGTAGTTTTTTGAAAAAATGCAAAGGGGTTTTGGCCTCGACTTGGGACCGGTCCCAAGCCCAAGCCTTGGAGGAGGGACCAATCTAGGGACGGGTCCCTTCTCCATGGGCCTGGTCTGGGTTTGGGACCAGACTTTCTAGGACCGATCCTAGAATTGGATTTTTGGGGCAGTTTTTTGGGCTGATTTGTTGGATCGGTCCCAAATGCCCAAGTCTAGTAAGGACGAACTAAAAGGACTGCAAATGAGTAAAACTCACAATCCCAGCTTCGATTTTTCGTTGGGTGTAAAAGTAGTACCTTTGTCCATAATTTACCTAGGAGGCTATGGCAATGGATTGCTTTGGCATAGCGCATTTCTGAGGATTAGTCAAGGTGTGCGCGTAAGTTGGCCTGGACACCTCAGTTATTAGAAAAAAAAAAAAAAAAAAAAAAACCATCTTTAATTAAAATCATTGACTATAATTATTAATAAAACTTAATTAGAAGATAAAATCTAGACGATGTGTTCACAAGATGGTGATGTGGCATGGGATTGGAAATCGGTAATTATTGAATTTTGTGTACGTTCAATTCCAACTTCTTCTTCCGATTGAACTGAAACCAAAAACACCCAATAAATTAATCGAATTAATAATTAGTTAATTGAACCACCCAACAGTTGATTAATTCTATTCTTGGTCTCAGTTACCTCTATATATGGTAAAGGTACTACACTCCTGATAAACTTCTACTGAATAACATACCAATATAAATACATTCAAACTTAAATATAAAAATGCAATAAATCCTCTTAAAAAGTATTCTCAAACTCAGTATGTTTAGGACTTTAAGTCGGACCAATTTACGTACACCTCGAGAGAAAATAGTATAGCAACCTACCACCGTGGGCCTTTCACTTAAATTGCAAATACTCAAATGGAAAATCGAACCTGAGAACGTACGTTTATTTATACTATCTCTAATTCGTCATAACCATCTGGGTTATCAATGAATGAGTTTATTAAATTTATGTCATTGACCACGATGAATATTTTACCTACCAAACATATTTAAAAGAAAATTTTCAATGAAATGGATCATTGACACGTTCATTCAATAAATTTATATAGTTTATACATTATTAGACAAACAAACAAACAAATTGTGGTGGTGCGGAGTCACAAAGATGTTGAAGTCATATTTTACCCTAAAATTTCATGTATAATTTGACCGACTAACAAACACAAGGATTGCTTAATTAATGTTTTCCCAGTAGATGGTACTTAAATCTTTATTATAATCATTAATTAATTTACTTTTATTAATTATAATTATATTAATGATCAATCTAATAAAGGTTTAATATAATAATAAGTCTGCTAATTAATTAAGCTGTTAAGTTCACCAATGTCACTGCAGTTTCCTAAAGTAATATTTTATCAAAATTCAACAGCAAAATCACGTTTTCTAAATCAGAGAAAGATCCATTTGGGTCAATTTTTATTTTCTTTTTGTTGCTTTACACATTGGATATGAGAGCAACTCTAGATCTTCTCAAAATCTCAAAGGGTGCTCAGCTTGAATCTTATTCCAAGTAAGAATTCTTGTGGTTTTGGAGGATCCAGTTATGGAAGAACCGGGAACGGAGAGTTTTCCCTCCTTTTCTGCCTCTTACAACACTTATTGAGCAGGGTTTTGTTCCATGTCACAAGCTCTGAGTCATAAACTCGAAGGTATAGATATTATATCATAATATAGAGGCAATATGGCTCACCAGGGAAGAGCTGGCTTTCACCAAAGAAACTTTAAATAATGTATTTTCAAGGTAATTGGATGGCTAATAGTTTGAGGTTTAAACTCATGGACACACCACACCACACCACCATTTGTGTCAGAGGAAATGTCGACTTCCAATGCCGTAGACATCTACATGGTTGTATGTTATAATTATATTTCTCAAAGACTGTAAGGTTCTCCTGTTTGGAACACGAATCTGCAAAGCAAGTTGGGAGAAGGTACTTGGCTATAGGGTTTGAAGAGTTAAAGTTAGTGCATGGGTACTACTGGTACTGGGTTGGTGGCTGCTAAAAAAGGCTCCAATATAATTGTGGATAATGCAGAAGTCAGGCGCCTACTATATTTTGATAGAGAGAAGGTTAAAGCAATCTCCATTTTTATTGCTTGCATCAGTACTTCTCACTTTGGTGTCATTTCATAGGAAGAAACATAAAGAAAAGGAAAACACAAGAGGAGAGGGACCCAAGGCCAAACCCAGAAGAATATATATGAGAAGAAAGAGAAAGAGAAACCCAAAACTTTTTGACTATATTTTAGTGATGCATGTGATGTGATTCCATCATCAAAATATTGGATAGTGAAATATGGCTTTAACAGGGTTGGAATATTGGATTTGGAAAACTGGTTTTTTGTTCNAGATCTTCTCAAAATCTCAAAGGGTGCTCAGCTGGAATCTTATTCCAAGTAAGAATTCTTGTGGTTTTGGAGGATCCAGTTATGGAAGAACCGGGAACGGAGAGTTTTCCCTCCTTTTCTGCCTCTTACAACACTTATTGAGCAGGGTTTTGTTTCATGTCACACGCTCTGAGTCCAAAACTCGAAGGTATAGATATTATATCATAATATAAAGGCAATATGGCTCACTAGGGAAGAGCTGGCTTTCACCAAAGAAACTTTAAATAATGTATTTTCAAGGTAATTGGATGGCTAATAGTTTGAGGTTTAAACTCATGGACACACGACACCACACCACCATTTGTGTCAGAGGAAATGTCGACTTCCAATGCCGTAGACATCTACATGGTTGTATGTTATAATTATATTTCTCAAAGACTGTAAGGTTCTCCTGTTTGGAACACGAATCTGCAAAGCAAGTTGGGAGAAGGTACTTGGCTATAGGGTTTGAAGAGTTAAAGTTAGTGCATGGGTACTACTGGTACTGGGTTGGTGGCTGCTAAAAAAGGCTCCAATATAATTGTGGATAATGCAGAAGTCAGGCGCCTACTATATTTTGATAGAGAGAAGGTTAAAGCAATCTCCATTTTTATTGCTTGCATCAGTACTTCTCACTTTGGTGTCATTTCATAGGAAGAAACATAAAGAAAAGGAAAACACAAGAGGAGAGGGACCCAAGGCCAAACCCAGAAGAATATATATGAGAAGAAAGAGAAAGAGAAACCCAAAACTTTTTGACTATATTTTAGTGATGCATGTGATGTGATTCCATCATCAAAATATTGGATAGTGAAATATGGCTTTAACAGGGTTGGAATATTGGATTTGGAAAACTGGTTTTTTGTTCTTTGGTTAACTTTGTTATGCTTGAAAAAGTAGGGCCGACGCGGAGTCTTGTCAGCATAGGGTGGTCAGAACTCAAGAATGTTACGCGACCATTCAGTGGCGGCCATGTCGCATGATGACGTGAGTGGCATGCCACTGTCAGTGCAGTGGGTGAATGTCAAGTCAGCGGAAGGTTGGAAATCGTCTATATGTCCAATCCCTGCACAAGTCGAGGATATCACTCGGGCATGTGAGCGATGAGATGTAGATAATGATTTGCACGGTATCCACCACACTTGTAGATTTAGTAATCATTACCTTGATTTATTCCACTATAAATAGAGGACTTTTCTCTCATTTGCAGGAGGGGCTAATTTCACTCTGGAATAGCATACTCTCTCTCATTATCTCTCTCTCTCTCTCTCTCTTGTATTCTCTAAGCTATAACTCAGTTCGTTGAACTCGACCTGACTTTACTCTCATTAATACAATATCAGTGGACGTAGGATTCGCCTTTGAGCATCCGAACCACTTTAAATATTGTTCTTCACCTTTTACTAAACTAAGTATTTCCATAATTACGAGTGACTTCTAAGCCTATTTAGCATTTCTCACGTGCGAGTAGTTGGTGTCAAAATCCAGCATCAACAAACTTCAACTTCTTTCAACTAATTATAACTAATATTGGTCACAAAATCTTTCTAGCTTTATGAGTATGGTGATGACTTGTGAAAGGAATATTTATCATCAAATTGGATTAAATAATTAACCATTTTTTTTCTTGCTTTTGATTATCCTTTTCTTGGTGGAAGTATGACCATATATACATGCATGCTCCTTCCAATTAAAGTTAATGATCTCACTTCAATTCTCCTTCTTCCTCTCACTTTCTTATCCATTTGGTCCTCATGATTCATGTTTGGACTAATTATAGAGTTTGATACTATTTTCTTTCAGTATCTGAAATAACATTTTACTCTTTATTCTTAGTATTTCATTAAGGGTTCTATTAGGATCTCACATCATAACCCATCAAGTATAGTACTTAAGTTTAAAGACTTTCTCACCCATCAGATCGATCTTTTGGGTTAGGCTCTCTCTTGTGTTTGAGTTTTAACATCGGTGTTCTCGTTGAGAGTTGAGCTATGGGGATGACTACCTTTTGTTGAGAGATAGAAAGTACATTATTATTATTTTAGATATCTTAAGGGGGTAAAATGTTAATCAAACAAACTTTAGGGAGAATTTAATGAGCTTTAATTATATCATCAAAGGGATATTATGGTAGTTTAGATCTTCTACTATAGAAAAAGATCACATGGGTTTTATAGCCTATTAAAAAAATATAATATATGTATGAAAACAGTTGATGCTCACCTAAGATGAAATCTTGGTGGGGCTTGAACCCTTTTTCTTTTTTCTTTTTGTTTTTTTTTTTTGCACACTTGATCTCTTTCTCATCTTGAAGGTTCATGCACTAAATCTAATAAGATCCAATCTTACTTGATGTTTCATCACACACTTGTAACTTAGTTTATATCCACAATTTTCTGTGTTCAAAGTGGTTAAAATTATACGTGAAAGTTGAAAATTTCAAAACGTATGAATTATTGAATGTGTAAAATGATCTATAAATTAAATATCGTATATTGGTTTGCTCACTTCACTTTATAATATAATTTTCTTTATTTTAGATTTATTATGAATTTTTTTAATTGTTTTGGTGTTTTTAAGCTCAAAAGCTAACTCAAAAAAAAACTTTTAAGAGAAGAAAATTCAATCACATATATATATATATATATATATATATATACACACACGTCTCACCACGGTGAGACAAATATAACTTAAAAAGGAAAAAAAAAAGAATTTGGATTGATTTGATAACTAGAACTTGACCATTTATATACTCCTTTAGTCAGAAAATGATGGGTGAATTAACTATGAAGTTAATTATATCTTGATCAGTCATAATTATTATGTATACTATTACTGGTCAAAACACAATCCAATAATATTAATTAATAATATGGCATGCTGATAGACTAGAAATTAAAAAAGAAAACAATCACCATCACACTCTTTAGAATCCTAAACTTATTATAAGTATCAATAATGAAATGACCCTGTTCTTGGTAGAAAAATCTAAAGCTTTTTGGATTGATTTCACTGGTATGATATCAAAGTTTAATTTATTTACATACCCTTTTTATAATTTATCCCAAACAATAAGAACCAAACCTGGAGGTTTTAGATTCAAACACTGGAATCACTTATTACAATAATATTATCATTTACCTGGTCATTTAGGTTTGTAGGGTATTCAATAAACTCGGATAATTAGTTGAGGTGCGTACAAATTGGTACGAACACCCTGGTTAAAAAAAAAAAAAAAAGGAAAGAAAGAGACTTCACATGCTGGCTTTTGCATGGTTATGGTTAAATGTAAAAGAGATGCACAGAATATGCACACTATATCGTGATAGCTAGGACAAACGTCCATCACAAAGTATATACAAATAGGCAAGAAACACATAGTGATTAGATAGATGCTCATCCCTAACTAAAAGATTCTACGTTCAAAGAACTGAACATTAAAGATAAAGTTCCATCTCCAGCACACATTATCACAGTATGTATATGCAAGCTACGCACCATAATTGGTACAGACACTCATTTCATGGAAGTGTTTTTGGCCCTGAGAGGGGTTCTGAAAGAAGCAATAAAATGGTGGAAATGTGGAGCAATAAGAGTAGTGGTAGACCTGTAGAGTAGAGTAGAGTAGAGTAGTACTGATGTTGTCAACAATGGAGGACGACACCAACCCACTATTTAAGCGTCCAATCCATAGAGAGGACCACCATCTTCATTGTTGGTTTCTCTGATACAAGGAATCATTTGGATAGTGCCTCTGTTACCTGTCACTCTCTGCTTCATAGACTTTTCTGTCTTTCCCACTTTATATCATATCCAATTTATGATCATTGCTGACACTTGTCATCAGTATATCAACATTTTATTTCACAATCATGTATTATTATAAGTAAACTTAGAACTTCTGCGCATGTAGATTTTGTCGTGGCATTGGTTGCTCCATTTCACAGTTTCCTGGGCTTGCTTCTTTTCTCTTGAATAGAATAATTCCACTACTGGTTATCTCAAGTCAAAAGAAAAAGGATAACTCTACTCCTGTAGAACAAATGACTTAATAATCAATTGTGCATTATATAAGACTTTCTTTAGAGATAATGTAATCTTTCATTTTGTCGACTAGATTAAAAGCAAACTGAACTTAAAACACAAAGCAAAAGAGGAAATCAATTGGGATCAAGAAAGATTTGATAAAACTCCTCCATTCTTGAAAGTGAGTTTAGGTCATCAAGTTTCGGCCACTTTGAATCGAACCAAGACAATGTGTAATACAACAAGTACGATTAAGTCAATAAATGGCGATGAATGATATGACAATAATTCGACCGAAACTTACAATCTTACCAAGAAATGGAAACTTATGCCTTAAAGAATTAATGTTGCTGTTACTAAAAATGGATGTTCTCAATTTTACATGATAAAAAATGATTCATTGTGAATCTCTAGCATCCTTATAATGATGAACAAACTCTTGGGTATACTTTATGATATCAAATCTAATTGTCATAATACAAAACTGGGTTTGGTTCCTGGCATGGTTCAAAAGGCATCACTCACCTGAAGACCCAGAAAACAGAGTTTTCATCAAGAATTTGTGGGGAAGAAGGGTTTACTTTTCTTTATTTTGTTCATCACTGAAAGCCACATTGAATATCTGGCTGTAGTCAGCCACAAAGTGAACATCTAAGCCTTCCTTCACATTTGGGGTAAGCTCATCAAAATCCCTCCTGTTGGCTGAAGGGAATATGATAGTCTTCACATCGCTCCTCCTTGCTGCTATTGTTTTCTCCTTAACCTGGTTATTTTACAAAAAGAAAAGAAAAAAAAAAAAAAAACCGATTGTAAGTGAACCATGCCTCAAATTGTGGCAGGAAGTACATTACTTTGGAACAACAATGCATTGCAAATGTAATTAAAAGAAGTGTTGCAAGGGCCACAACATAAATTCTAGTTGTAAAACATTTCCGACTTCCAAATATGGAAAAATCTTGAAGGGGCACAAAAGCAGACGAGAGACTCCATAATAAAAAGGCATGGCACACACATCACTCATCTAAGAAATAATTAGAAATAAAACTAACAAGCTTCCCCTTTGCTTCAAAGTTTAGAAACATCATAGGGAATATGCATATGTATTCTTCAAAAATAAAAAAGATTTCGTTTGACTAATTGATTCAGTCTAGTATCAAGTAATGTCAAGCATAAAAAAATTCAAGAAATAAATTAAAGTTTGTTCGACATACCCCACCAATTGGAAGGATTTTCCCAGTTAGTGTTACTTCCCCAGTCATTGCTAGATCCTTCCTGACAATCTTCTTCATGGCAAGGGACAACATAGATGTGATCATGGTGCAACCTGCACTAGGCCCATCCTTGGGAGTGGCCCCTGCGGGAACGTGGAGATGAAGTTTGGAATTGGCGAAGAAAGGGCTATTTGGTTCTTTCTCAAGTAAGATTGATCTCGCTACCGTGTGAGCGATTTGTGCACTTTCTTTCATAACATCTCCAAGTTGACCAGTAACATGCAAAGCCCCTTTTCCATCTCCTTGCTCAACCTGAGTGGTCTCTATGTACAAGGTGGAGCCACCCATTGCAGTCCAAGCAAGACCCATCACAACTCCAACTGGAGTTTGATCATAGATGCGCTCAGCATGGAAAACAGGTTTGCCAACATAGTCGGCTAAGTTTGATTCGTCAACCAATACTTTCTCAACTGCTTTGGCAGCTTCATTATCCTGTACTTTCTCCCGTTCTGTTATATCCTGTACAGAAGATTAGAAGTATGAATATACAGGATGAAGCTCTTACCTTAGAAGGCTTTGAAAAGAAAGACTTACCAAGTATCTTAGATTTCATTCTTTTAAACAGATTAAGTCAGATTTTTATCTAGATATCAAAATACTAAATTAACTGCAATGGACATCCTTGGAAATAGACACTTCTTTGTCTTTATGGAGGTTTCTAGAGTGAGAATTTATTTGTTGCCAAAATAGATAATAAGTTTGAAGTTATTTTAGTCCAGTTAGGAGGCCAGAAAATTTTATAAATTCATATATTAACCTTAACAAAAACAATTTCAAAAAAAAAAAAGTAGCACTTTTCTCGACATAAAAATTGTAAACCATAACCATGGTTGCAGAAATTAATAATTTTCAAGATACCTTTAAATCAACATCACTCTGAGATTGGTCATCCGTCTGTATTGTCACAGCCTCGACAGCGGTTTCAGCAGTTTGATTGTGACTGCTAGTCTCCACTGTTTCTGCTTCAACCTTCATGTCACTTCCAGCTATTTTTTGACTTGATTCATCAACATTTTCTGCCTTTGCATTATCGGTCTCCACAACCTCTCCAGCAACAGCAGATTCACTTAATGCTCCTTGCCTCACAAGTTTCAAAGCAATCTGCCACACAACCATACATTCTAGTGCTTCATGAATTTGAACTAAAATACAAAGGAAGGGGAAAAAATGGTGGAACAGCAAAGTAAAGCTATTTGCAAATACAAATACATATAACACAAAAATTAATAATCCCATACCTTGCGGTAAATCTTTTCTATTTGCTTTTGAAGATTACGAACCCCTGCTTCTCGGCAGTAATTTTCAATCAGGCCAAGAAGCGCTGCATCAGTCACCTCAACCTGGATCAAATTAGTTTGTAAGGGTTCAATATCTTCAGTCCTTGAAAAATATATCGCACATATTATCTCCATTTTTATAAGAGAGAGGATGAGACCTGTTCAGGCTTGATACCACATGCTTCACGCGTAGTCTTCTCCAAATAGTCCCTGGCAATGTGCATTTTCTCATCAGTGATATACCCAGCAATAGCAATTACTTCCATTCTGTCCAAGAGAGGGTTGGGTATATTCTCCACAACATTTGCTGTGCAAACAAACAGAACCTACAATGAAAATTTGAAGAATTAAGGTACAAATCCATAAAAATCCAATGCCCAACTTCCAGCCCAACGTGTGATGTGCTAATTCAATGTTAAAAACACAAGATGTAATTACAGAAAACTTGTGTAAAACGTGTAAGAGTATATATGGGTATAGTATGAGTCTAACATGCCAACTGCCAGAAAAGATTTCAACAGATGAGAAAAACAAAAAGGCACATGTCCAAAATTAACTACAAGTTCTCAATCTATTTCCTTGATATTCTACTCTATTGAAACAATATATATGTTGAAAGGTACCGTCAATTGAAATCCCTGCTATTACTAACCTTTGATAGGTCAATTGGAACATCAAGATAGTGGTCCAGAAAATTAGCATTTTGTTCTGGATCAAGGAGCTCCAACAATGCGCTTGCCGGATCACCAGCATGTCCCCTTCCCAACTGCCACAAAATTCAATATGTTATTATTGTGATCGCAGTAAATAAACATTTTCCATAACAGAAAATAATTATAATCACAATGCACAAACATATCATTCTGGACCATATAACAGAAGAAAACTCAATCTTACAGCCTTGGTACCTTGTCTATTTCATCAATCAGAACAAGAGGATTAGCTGTCCCTACATTTTTTAGGCACTGCACCATCTTTCCTGGCATAGCACCAATATAGGTTCGACGATGCCCCTGAAGAAGGATTGGGAGTCAATAATAAAATTTCTATAACTTATATCACCATATAGCTGCATACAATTTTATTCCCAGTATAAGAAGACTTTAATTACCTTGATTTCAGCAACATCAGCTAAACCTCCAACTGAAAACCTAAAGAATTTACGGTTTAAAGCACGAGCAATTGAACGACCAATGCTAGTTTTGCCCACTCCAGGAGGGCCAGAGAGACAGATGATTTTTCCTGCAATTAGTTTAAGAAAATTAAGAGCTTGTAATAGCTTCTAAGTGGAATTGCTTCCATTCTTCATGGTCGGCATGAAGTCAGTTCTCTAATGCTCAAAAGATATGGCATCACAGATTGTTGCAATAGAATGATAAGAAGTAAAAGACAAATACTAAAACATTTTATTATGCTACTAGATTTTTCATACACATTAACAACTAAAAAGAAACTATACCAACCTTGGGAGGTTCCCCTGAGTTTTCCAACAGCAATAAATTCTAATATCCTTTCCTTCACATCAGTCAATCCATAATGGTCTTCATCAAGAATTTGTTGTGCCCGGAGGACATCAAAATTCTCATCACTGCATATAGAATTGGGGAAAAAAAATGAAAAATCTAAAACCAGCATGACAGAACTTTCTTCATATAAGACCAAAAATCAATCATAAATATATGAAGTCTATAAATCCATCATAAAAAAATGAAGACCGAAAATCCATCATAAATATCCCAACACAAACATCAGATTTAGCATCGTACTACTGGCACCATAATGGCCAAACCACCATCACCATGCAATAATTTTTCTTTTCTCCCAATTATTCTATCAACTTAATTAAATTAAAGAGACCATGGAAAAGTAAATTTTCAAAGTATCAAAGCAAAACTATTAGTGCTACAATGACAGGGTTATTGAATAATATTCATCTTGAAAAATTACCTGAGGTCAACATCACATCTCTCATCATTATTAGGATAAAATACAAGCATGCCAACAACATTTAAAAAAAAAAAAAAAAAAAAAAAAAAATTCTTGACCAAATGAAAGAGCAAAAAAAACCTGTAGCTTCCCCAAGGTAGTGCAGTCAACCAATCCAAATAGTTGCGAGTTACATTGAATTCACTAGAACTGGCCTCTAACAGCTGCAGTTTTGTAAGCTCCTCTTCTATAACTTGCAGAATATGAGGTGGACATTTGTCCTTGTATTGTTCAATCCTTTCCCTGAACTTTGCTGCAATAATGGATCAGAAAAGTGTAAAAACAGTCGCATTGATTTTTCTATAAGACTTTAAACTAGACCAGAAAGATTGTTTGAATGAAACTAACAGGAAAGGGCTGTTTTGTCATCTGTCTCTAATCCAAGCTCCTGCAACAGGGGCAAGAATCAAAATATAGAAGTCAATATAAAACCCAGCTCAATCTGAACATATTTGTAACAGTCTATCATAGTTTCTAGAGATACAGTATAGTAAATACATACAAATAGATAACTGAAGCTAATACCTTCTTTATGGCCTTAAGTTGCTCATTCAACAAGTACCGGCGCTGCTCACCACTGATCTTTTCCTCAATTGCTTTTGCAATCGATTCCTACACATGACCCGATGAAAGCAAAGACCTAATGAATGAGAATCAAAAAACAACAAATAACCATAAACAATAGCATGATGTACCTGAATTTTTCTGATTTCCATTTCTTTCTTCACCAACTCCAGTGTCAGTTTCAAGCGTTTATACACCTGAGTTCAACCACAGAATAAAAGTGACTAAAAATAAAAAGTAAAGAAGAAAAAGAAGGATGTAATACAAAAGTCTAAAGAGGCTTTAAAGTGCAGATTCCATAGATGTAGATAGCAAAAGGTTCTAAATCATATTGTTAAAAAAATAAAAAGGTGCTCAAATGAAAATTTTCCAGAATAAAGCTGGGAATTCAAGATCACCAATTATGATATGCGACATACATCTAGCTCTTCAAGTACTTGCTGACATTGCAATTTGTTTCCACCAGATATTGCAGCTCCAAAATCTGCTAGCCTTGGAAAGCTAAAATCACCAATATGCTGCGGAAATGAGAGAGAAAAGATGTAACTACAATGACCAAACAATGAACCAATTCATTCAATCAGGTTGCAGTTATAAAAAATATCCAACACACAGAAGCACGTGTGTAAAACGCTTTATCTAAATAGAATTGGCATGCAAATATCATTAACTCATTTCAAGCATTCTATGAATCAAAAAGAGAGAAACTGAAGTGGCAATGTTGTAATCAGAGGCAGTAGCACTATTAGAAAGATGGCAACGAGAGAAAAGTTTGGAAGTATTAAAAGTAAGATGTTGCCATAATGATGACGAAGATGATTGGCATTATCAATGCCAGAGAAAAAGAGATTTAGGTTCTATCCCAATTTATTGGCATAAGTTAGTGCAAATTGCAAAATGCACCAGGAACAAATTCAGATGACGAAAAGCTTTTCATAAGTTCTAGACCAAACTGATGATGAAAAGCAAGAGCATCTTAAAGAAAGTGTATAGGCAATTATTCAAAAACACATTCAAACCTGAGTATATGTTTGAACATGATCTCTCCAAAGGGAACTTGTCTTCAAAACATCTCTTAGAGTAGATATAACCTCAAATGATGTTGCCTTTATAACATCATCATCCTTGTCATATGGTTTATCCTGCAATGTTTAAAGTCAATAGAACATCTTTTGCATATATGGAACCCTATGAACTGGAATCAATCAAAATTGAGCATAGAGAGGATACCTTGATATGATCAACTTTGACAGTCAGGGGGTCCTCACTAACCTACATAGAAGACATCATTTTCAGTTAAGAAACTTCTCCATCAAAAGGTAACAGATAAGTAAACAGAAAGGATACTTCATAAAGCCTCAAACTCTAAGACAACAGGAAGCAAATTCTAATACTTCAATATCCTGCCTACTCACCAACTCCGTCATTCGCAGTCGCCTGTGGCCAATAAGGACAACCTGGTCTCCTTGGATGCTTGTAATCTGTAACGTTATACCACAGATTCTTTATTGTTCAATCATAAACACACAATTCTTTAATGTTAAATCTCGCATGTACTGACATTTGAGGACATTAAGCTCACAGAACTTGATACCTGAGCAAGTGTACCAACTTCATGAAGGCGATTAAACAACTCTTTTCCTTTAAGATCATATACACTTTTTTCAGTTTCAGAACCTGAAGAATCAATGCCCGGCTCATCTTTCAGAAGGAATGCCCCAGCATAAGGGGCTTGACGTTTTCGGTTTTCCTGTAAAGCTGCTAACAATTTTGGATCCTGAAACAAAATTTAAAACTTTGGTAACAGAAACCTCAACTAAATTCCTTAAAATCTTGCTGCATGAAATGAACCAAAAATGTCGACATATAACGATGTTGCATGCTGTATAACAAGACAGAAGCTACAATACCTTGACATAAATTGGCATGTAGAAACCAGGAAAAAGAGGTCTATGAGGCAATGGTAATGCCAAAACCTGCCATACACAAAATCAAGTAATAAGATAAATAGTAAACGGTAACCATAAACCCATCCACTCAATCATAAAAGCTTTAAAATTTATAAACTAGCATTTGTACTTTCAATAGTTTCATATTAAAAAAAAAAAAAAAAAAACAATCATAAAAGCTTTAAAATTTATAAACTAGCATTTGTACTTTCAATAGTTTCATATTAAAAAAAAAAAATTTAATCCTTAAGTGCTCTTCTTCAGCTAAAGAAAATTGTTTTAACATTCAATTTGAGATTGCAATTAAACAGCTTATTCATTCTATTCCAAATTTCTAATTTCCTTTACTTTCTCACCAACCAAACTAATTATAAAATAAAACAGAAAAACACTAATATTTCATCTTAAACGCTCTTATTCAATTGAAAAATTGTTTTTAACATTGGAAAACATTCGAAATTGCTACTAACGCTCTTGCATTATATTAATTGTAGAAAAAAATGCTTCATTCTCCCTCAATTCCTTTATTTCCCTTTCCTCTCTCACCAACCAACCAAATAGACACAAACAAAAACAAAAACTTTATTCAACCTACCGTTAAATAATCCTCGGGCCGAGGGCTCGTAGACACAATAGCTGAAGAACTCTTCGGGTCGGACTCTTCGGAGTCGGCTTTAGCATCCTTCAGCTCAACCTCGGCCAGGGACCCATCTTCACCGCTGTCTCCAGAAGAATCGGAGCAGAAAAATCTCCTGTAAGTCACCGTGCGGCTCCTCCGAGCCGTCAACCGGGTGAGTTGACTCAGCGCGTCGAACAGAGGCGAGGAAGATGAAGGCTTGGTTCTGAGAGCCGGAACGGTGGCGAAGGCGTGGGCCTGCGGGCATGACGCGGCGGTGGAGGAGAGGAGTTTCAGCATTGGCGAATTGGGGAGACTCTTGGAGGGGTGAAATTGAAAAGATTTAGAAATTTTGAGGTCCCGATTGAGATTGGGAGAAGTTGCATTGAAGAGAGGAGGAGGAGAGGTTTGAGAGAGGAGAGTGTTGCAGTAAAAGCCCTGCATAAACCCTTGCTGTGTCTGGTTTGAGGATATTAAGTGAATTGACGTTTTTGTCCTTACATAAACCCTATTTTGTTTTGTATTAAATAAGGTTTTGTGTATTAATTTAATATTTAATATTTATCGCCTTTGGAAGCAAGAAATCTACTTGTTCTAGAATCACCATCTCATTTGAACCTCTCTTAGAATTAATTAATTTTTTTAATGATTTTTTTCCTACAAATTTTAATCTTTAAAGTTTAAATAAATAAAAAAAAATTTTTTTTTGGTGTTTCGTTTGTATAATCAAACAGTTATTAGTCTTTTTGTTTCCAAATCCAATTTTTTAAAATTTGAAAATTTCCTTTCATTGATCCAGAAATCTCTAAAAAAAAAATAGTAGGGTTTCTTTATTCCATCCAAAATATCGGGTGAATAGACATTTGCTTGAAAAGTTCCCAAGTATCGGTTTTACGTCTTTGTGGCACATAAAGCCTTTAATTAATTCTCGACGATTCAAGTATTGAGTAAAAGATTACATATATAAACTTTGCATTGCATATCAAACCTATTATACTACATTGTCTCTAATTTTTCTACTACCGATTTGAGTATTGGGCGAAAGATTACACAAATAATCTACGTACAAATAAATCAGTAGCATTATCGCATACATAGATAATGTTTATTAAATTAGATTAGAGAAGGAAAAGTTTTGAGGGTTAAAATAGTAATTGTCAATGTGAATTTTGTTGGGTTTTAGTACACAAATGAAACCCTAGAACTTTCTTGCCACTTCAAAAGCTTGATTAAATAGTTAAAAACATATAACATATAATATTAATTTCATGAATCTAAAAAGTGAGCCAATCTCAAAAATAAATTAGAAAAAAAATTCCAACTTTAATCAAAATTTAAAAATATTTATTATCTATTTATGAGTAGCCCAGATGGTTAAGACGAACATGAAATAGTACACAGTCTTAGATTCAATTACGTCTAAATATTACTGATTTGAGTTTAAGTATGAGACTATGACGGTAAGCACGTCGAACACCATCATATTATATATATATATATATATATATATATGGAATGTGATTTTATTAATTTTTTAAAATACCCTAATTTGGCTTATAGGCTTAAGGATAAGCACTTCTTTCTGGCTCTCAATCACTGCTTTGAGCAAAGCTACAGTCCATGCCACTAAACCCCTTTTTTTCTCGGGAAAATTGTGCCAAGAAAATTTTTTGTTCTGTGTTTGAATAGAAAAGTGGAACGGATAAAAATACAAGAATTTGACGGAAAAGAGTGGCCGAGTATCATACAACAGAGTCAAAGGTGTTTGATAGGAGGATATTGTCAAAAATTTCGACTAGAGAAGAATTTGGAGGAATGAGACATTTGTGTCTTGAGCAATACTACTCTTACAAAGACAAAAACAAAGAGGTCATACAAAGACAATTTTCACCCTTCATCTTCATGATTTCTCTCTCTCTCTCTTTCCCTCTTTTTCCGTTTTTTCTTTGTTTTTTCCTTCCTAGTGATGTCACTTTGTAGCTCTCTTTGTATTGTCTTTGTAAGGATAGCATTTTTCTTGTGTCTTTGAGCCGGTGAGAAACTATGACTTTCTTTTGAAAATATCAGTGCATAAAATTAATCCATAATCAAAGTTATTAACATGCATGCTTGATGTTTGACTTAGGGCCGTTCAAAACTGGTTAACCGATTTTGTGAACCGAATCGGTTTTTCGGTTCAGGAATTTTCCTGAACTGAAACTAAATCGGTTAAGGGGAAAACCGGTTAGTAAAAATCAGTTAACTGGTTTTAAACCGGTTTTAATTTAATATTTTTATAATAAACCGGTTTCGGTTAACTGGTTCTCATATTCTCGTAAATCGGTAACCGAATTGGAAAATCAATTTTTGTATTTCTTTGAACTGAAACGGTTTTTTGGATAACTGGAAAATCGGTTCGGTTCAGTTCGAGTTTGACTTGTGATTTGTTATTGACTATATATTCCTCAAGACTTTCATTTAATTTTGAACTTACCAAGTCATGATTCAATCAACGAAAGTTGTGTGTGTAAACCTCTATCGTAAGATGCATGGATGAGTTTGGTTTTACTAACATCAACTCTATGTTTTCCTAGTTTATATGAGTACATAATATGAAATTTATTTTTTCTTTATTTTTTTCTATTTTTTATGTTTTGTTTTTTTTATTTTTTTTTTCTTTTTTTTTGACTTTTCCATGCTTCTACTAGTAGGATCAAATCTAAAAGAGAAACCCAAGATAAAAAAATTTAAACTGTGACGAATTGAACAACAGAAGCTTGAAAAGTGGAAGAAGCAGAAGCATTGGCCATCCAACCAGCTAGAGCACTGGCATTAGCTGGGCTGAAGTGGGTGGAAAAAACTATTACCAAAAAAAAAATAAATGCATTAGTCAATATTTTTAACATTTGCTCTTCCAATATGGTTAACATTTACTTAAATGAGAAGAATGTGGAGTATTATCATACATTGTGCTGCAACAGAATGGCCATACTTCCAATATACTGTGTCAGGATTTAGCCTTGGGTTCTCCCACAACTGGTGCGGCCAGTTCAAACTGCATCAAAGAACAACTCATGTATTAAATACTGGGTTCCCAACTTTTTCATAGAAACATACAGCAAAGAGACGAAAACACAGCTCCATTTTATAGGAAACAGAAAGAAAAATAAAAAGAATAAAGATAGGTTGACAAACATTTCTCACAATTTTTTTTCACAAACGCTAACGTGGCAACTCGTAATTAGTCAGTTTGCATTTGGTCAGATGGGACTCATTGTTGGATAAGCAGGACTAATTGTGAACCGGCCAATTACGAGTTAACACATCGCGTTTGTGAGAGAAAATTAATAAGAAAGGTTTGTGAGTATAGTATTACTGCAATAAAAAAAGACTAGCGTAATTCATATATAAACACAAGAATAGAGCTTGTCAAACGATTCTCTTAACTTGTATCTACAGATAATGGGACGTGTTAAGGTAGATAAAAAATAATAAAAATACAAACATTTGTACAAATTTCAATGTACTTAATACGACTAAATTTTTGCCTTTACATAAAACTTATTAAACAAAAAAACACCAACATAATCCACTTTTTTTATTAACAAAATCAACAATCAGACACACATTCCACCACTTAAACCACTCTAACAAAGCCAAAACTCCAAATTTCTCAACCAAACCGAACCTACCCCTCCCCCAATTTCAAAAATCAAAACTTAAACCCAACAAAATCCCATAATTCCAACAAGAACAACCCCGAAACACCTAAATCTAACATAATCACACAACCACCGGTTCAAAATCAAAACTTTCCTGCTCCAAAACAACTCGACATGTGAAAATGAAGACGAACAGACGGAGAAATGAAGCAAAGCTTACTTTTGAACACAGTCCTCGAATTTCTCTTCTTCGAGAAACTAAAGTATAAGAAGCACCATTGCTCTTCTCAACTTCCAAGGTTCGGCTTTATCGATTAAATCGTACACACTTCTCGGCTTTTCCATGGCAGGATCAACTCCATCCTAAAAGAGAAACCCAAGATAAAAAATTTAGTAAGCTAATTCTTAAATACTAGGTTAAAACAAATCATAACTATAATCAAATTAAATATAAAACTTTTTGGGTGGGAAAGTGTCATTGAGGCAAACCTTGAGTGGGAAAAAGTCGTTTACTCTTACAAAGAAAAAGGAAATCTTGATGACTCTAGTCTCTAGCACTGGAACATTTGAAAGATCAATGCTACAATAATTTAACCAAAACATATAATTCAGTGATATAAACAGAGGTAAATATTAAGGTAAATGTTCAAATGCTCATGCACAATTACCATACTCAAGAACAAACTGTTGCCTGACAACATTTAAAACCAACACTGAAAAAACAAATCCATGCACCAGCAAGAAATTTATCAGGACATTCCTGTGATCAACAAGGAACGGATGCATAAAAGATCCGGATCTCGGTATATCAGATGTGGTCCTTGTTGACCTCTGAGTGACAGGTGGAATCGAAGGCTGATCACCACTACCAATTCGACTGCTGGATGTAGAGAAGGGAGAAGAATGCTGATCCCAAGTGTGATAATGGAGATCCGTGGGAGGGAAACTATATGAAGTTGGCATCTCACTATGTACTGATGGACCATTCCAGGGATTGTTGAAATTAGAACTATCTGAAACACTTCCGCTGCTGTTTGAGAACGAGGGATGAATGGGTCCAAAATAAGCAATAAATGGACATGGGTGAATAGTGGATGATACAGCTGTGTGTTCAGCAAAGATAGCATATTGTCCCAGTAGATCATGATCTGCATTAAAAAATTACTTCATTAAGATACTATCCACAGCGCCTTCCACCACTAAATCTTCTATAGGAAATCTTTAGTTATGCATGAAAAAGAGGAACATATCTTACATGCAGTTGAAGAAAATTCTACTTCTCTGCAAAAATTAGAAAAAGAAAACATGTTCAGTTAGTACCAGTAGATCATGATCTTCTCTGTGATTTTTTTGATTTTTTACATAGAAAATATCGTTGTTTAAATCTTGTGCAAGGTATTCTTCCAAGATATGACAAAGTTAAAATAATAAAACAGCTACCCACAAAATGGCAAACTAGAATTTTGAAGCATAAAACAACACATTTTTGTAGGAAACATAGAACTCAACATATTAATAATAAGGGAAATAACGAAGATTTAAGCTATAAAGTGTGAGATTGTGCTTACTCAGAAGATGAAGGGAGTCGCGTTAAACCACCAAATGGACACCAGTGAACTCCAAAAGACTGCAAAACCCACTTAGATAAATATGTTGAGTCATGTAAAGTTCAATAATATCATTATCTTGTTTTCATAAACCCAAACACATATTTACACATACATTCATTGAAGAACAACTACGTTGTTTCATTTTTCATAAATTTACAGAGACATAAAAGGAGAAAAATGAAAC